TCCAAAAATAATTGTCTAACGACATTTTTTTGTTTAATGAATAGGTTTATCCGTACAAGCAATCAAATGTGCAGATCTTGTGGTTGATTTTAACTTAGAAATAATGAACCTATTGCTACCACCACTACCCTCAACTCTACCCAACCACCAACCGTAATAACCTCTATTCACTAAAACTAAAATTTAATACATTTAAATGTATTAAAAACACATGAGAAATATTTTGTGAGCATGAAATGATCTTAGAAGGGTGTTAGAGTATTTTGAATAGTTAAAACATTTTTCATGCTTAGTGAATATTTTATAACTTTGTTAATGTATAAATGGTGACTTTTATGTGAAATAATTAATCCAAGCATGTTAAATATGCATGACAAATGTTTTATTTGCATAGAATATTTGCTAGAGGGTGTTGGATTATGTGATATTGTTGGATGAATTTTCCGACTTCTATGAATATTTTATTTGAATTTTATTGTGCATGAATAGTATTTTTTAGGTTAATTAATTAATTTAAGCACTTTAAAGTATAAAAAATTATCAAATGGGAATAGAAAAATCATTTTCAATGTGTAAGAATATGTAATAAGTTTAGATAAATTTTTCTATGTATAAGGAATATTTTCTACAAGAAATAGTGTAATTTTTACATTAAATAATTAATTTGAAGGCCTAAATAAAGGTATAAAATTATGTGAGTGACGATTAAATTCTTTTAGAAAGTATTTTAATTTATTATTACAATAAATTGAATTTTTGGAAGGTGTGGAATAAAATTTTAGAGTTAGGGACGTAATTGCATAGAAATTAGGGACCTAATTTCATAAAATTAAAAATTTGAACTTTCAAAGTAAATTAGCTATGAACTTTAAGAGTTAAAAACTTGTTAAGATATCTTTAAAGGATGGGTCTAAAGTAATCAATTGAAAAATTAAGAGATACGTGGAGGAGTAATTAGAGAAAAGATTAGTAAATTAAAGGACCAAAATTAAGTATTTTTTGAGAGATTTTTTACCCATTTTAGTCGACTTCCAGAAATAAGATTAGGGGTTAATAAATGAGCTTTGACTAAGATAAAAAGGAGGGGTTAGAATTAGGCAAGATGGAAGGCCAAAATTAAAGAAAGGTTAATGGCCAAGGTTAATCCATTTCAAAAGGTTAGGATTTAAAGATAATTTAAGGGCTAGGATCAAACCAAATGTTAGCAAACCAAGGGTAGAGATGAGACCAAAATTTGCTTATAAATATGGGTGCAAGAAATTAAAGAAAATACAAGAAAAATCACAAAATACAAAGGAAACTCTTGCAAATTTTCTCTAGGAATTTCAATCCAAAAACCCTCCTAATCATCTCTAAACACACTAAACCAACTAATTAAGCAAAGAAATCAAGCTAGAAGATCAAAATTCATCAAGGAAAAAATTTAGGGTTTAGGTCGAATTGTGTAGAGAAGGAGGAAGAAATTCTTCAAATAATCCAACCTTTCAAGGACAATTTAGAGCTTAATTGAGTAAGTTAATCTCACCTATATCACAAGAAAGTTCAATTTCATGTCAAATTTGTATTTGATGCTTTAATTTGTATTTAATTGTATGAAAATTAAGTTTAGGGTTCTTTTTTAGGATAAATTAGGTAAAATGATTTTAACTTGAAATTCATGTAATTAAAGTTAAATCATGCAAATTAGGCTTAAAATTGATGAAGAAAAATCAAAATCTCTTAGGTTAGGAAAGAGAAGCATTCGACCAAAATAGAAAATTTGAGGGTTTTTAATACTTTGATTTGTTTGATAATTTATTTGTTGTTGTTTATGCTTGAATAGATGATTGAGAATGAAAAATTACATAAAATGTTAGAAAATATACCTAATTTCATAAGGCTCATATTCGACCTAATTAGGAAATAAATTAGGGTTTATGTATTTTAATTCCTAAGTGTTTAATTGATTATTTCTAAATTAGAATAGCCTAAAATGATGAATCGAGTATGGAAGATTTGATTGAAAATGAAAAATGTTCCTAATTTACTTTTGTTGGGCTTTTGACCCATGATGCCCAAATTAGGGTTTTTAATACAATTAGATGTATAATTATATAATTGATGGTTCCTCGATGATTTCGGTGTGATGCGTATGCTTGAAGTGTGAATTTGGATGATTATGTATGAATATGCATGTTTATGGGAAAGTTGCAAAAAGTTTGGATATATACGACTATATGATCATATGTTGAAATGTGGATTATTATGACGTCTTATGGTGATGATATTGTGATGATGACGATTATGAAAGTGTATTGCCTTATGTCGGGTAATGATGTTATTATTTATAATGATTTGGATGGATTTTAATGAGGCAATTATTAGTGCATTTTATGTCATTAAATTATGCATTATCATGACATAAATCAATCTCACTCATAGCATGCATTTCATGAAATTATAATGGTATGCATTTTCAATAAAATGCATATGCGTGGCAATTCATGAAAAGGATTCAAAGTTATGAAAAGATTTCCTTTATAGTTTTCCAAAAGCATTGAAAAAATATTACACGAGTTCATATGATATTTCATGACCTTTTATGAATTATATGATATATGGTTTTCATGATTTTCGTGGTCCTTGACATTTCCTTCATCGGCAAGCCGAGCAATGGCCAAGGGCCAAGGAAAATCATCGAGTGGTGTAAGCCCAAATAGAAGGAGGTGGCATTTCACATCAAGGAAATTTATATTAGCCTCAACTTGTGGAGGAATTAGTGATGGTTCTACGGGAGAATTGCACGGGAAAAATGGTTAAATAAGTACAAACATGTCCCTTTGAATACTCGATAGGACATGTCTAAGCATGGAAAAAGGGTTTTCGGAATGATCATGAGAAGGATTTTCAAAAAGACATGAAAATTATTTTTCATATGTATATATTCATATTATACATATATTAACTTACTCAACTCGTTGCTCATTTAGTTTCTAGTGGTGTAGACATTACGGGTAATAATGTCAATGTTCACCACCGAGTCGATTACCGAAGGATCCATACATCATGTGTATTTTGGATGTGGCTTTGACGAGTAAAATAGACATCTTTCAAGTAACTATTTTCTCGGTGTTCGGTGTTATAGTTTATGTACCGAGTATGACGAGTTTACTTTATGCAATAGTTTAAACCATGAACAAGTAGAACTATAGACGAGAATGTGAAGTAAATAAGTAAATAAGTCATTTTTTTAGTATATGACATTAAGTTATTTTATATGTAAATAAACATAGTTGGTATGTAATCTAAACTTAAAACAAAATAGTATTAGTGAAATAACTTAATTATGGTTAGCATTAGTTTCTTTTAGTTAGTACTTTATTTGTTAATATCATTACTAAAATATGATCACTAAATTTATAAGCAAACTAAAAATAATAAATGGTACTTAAAGTCAATAAAGGAGATTAAGTATCTAATAACTAGTGATTAATAAATAAATTTCTATAGACTAATAGAAAAGGAATTTGCAAATACCGAATGTCATAGATAAAGTTCATTCGAGTCCAATGGACCTCCTTCAAGTAATCATTTTCTTAGTGCTTTGTGTTATAGTTTATGTACCGAGTATGATAAGTTTATTTTATGCAATAGTATACTTGGAATAAAAATAGAATAGGGAAGCAACATCACAATTCTACAAAACAGAAAATTCAAATCCAACCCAAATCCCTTAATTTTTTATAACGCAATGGAATTCAGCAACTTGCATGCCAATTTAGCCCTCTTTCCATCCACAATAGCGTTGGTGATTAGTTATGTATATATTCAAAAATTTAAACCGTTATATGAGATTTTAATAATTAATAGTTTTATATTACCTCAAATAAAAATTCTTTGATCTTAAAACATACATAAACTTATCATTATATTATGCTTAGTGAGAAGAAAAAATAAGAATTATTAAATTCAAACTTATAATTGTTTGATCATTAAAACTCTATACCATATAAAAAATTATTTCAAACCTAAATTTTAAACGGTTAATTGAGTCTTTAAAAATAGTTTTATGTGGTGAGGTAATTTCTACCAACCATATTAATATACATAATATGAAATTGACTCATGGGAATTTTATTTTACTACAAGCGAAGATCAAATTTTATTTCAATAATTAATAGTTTTATATTACCTCAAATAAAAATTCTTTGATTTTAAAATATACATAAACATGCCATTATCTTATGCTTAATTAGAAGAGAAAATAAGAATAATGAGATTTAAACTAGTAACTATTTAATTATCAAAACTATATACCATATCAAAAAACTATTTTAATACTAAAATTTAAACCATTAAATGAGTTTTAAAAAATAGTTTTATACTACTCTCTAACATATGGTGAAACAATTTCTACAAGCCATATTAATATACATAATATGAAATTGGCTCACAGGAATTTTATTTACTACAAGCGAAGATGAAATTTTATTTGAAATTAATACCGGCAAAGCCAATAAATATGCTGGATAAACCTCCATATTGCTTATTCAATCAGGAAAAGTTAACCTGCAACAAATTTTGGAGTTGCATTATAAAAAAAATTAACAGGAATCATAACAGTAAAAACTAACCACAATAACCTAGAAAGTGGTAAGTGAATAAACTACTATGTCCTGATTATCAGTTTAAAGTTGTTTAAATTGAGGTAATTATAATGCGTTCGAATGAGTGCATAGCCACAAGCAAACTGAATGAAATTCATAGAAACTATTTGCGTGGAAATGAGAGTAACAAGCCAACCCCAATGTAATAAAAGCACAAGAGCTGTCTGAGTCCTGACGAATATCAGCTTAGCTCATGGTGCTGATATTGGTCCCATGGAATCTGATGACTGGCCTCGTTCGAGCAAATGTCCTTGGCCTGCTGATAAATTTATCAGCTGAGACCAAATGAAAAATGACCTCAAAAGTGAGAGTGAGTAAGAAGGAACTGAAAATTAATAAGAGGTATGGCCTCACTTGCTGCTTCGATAGCTGGTTCTCTTCTATTAATTCTTCCCCCTAAAAATTAACAAAAAATAATAAGAAATTGAATAGAGAATGAGCATAGTAATAATTTGATTATCAAAAAATTGTGGTAACATCATTTTATGCACATCATCTGACTATGTTCAATTTTATTGATTCAGGATGAAGTTTTGAGGTTTCATTTATAATTTTTACGAATTTTGGCATGAAGAGCGCCTGAAAATGTTCATAGATAGGAATGTGACCTTGGTCTTGACGCGACAAAAGCTTCCTTCAATCAATTTTTCTAATCTATGTAGTTCTTCCATGTTCAATCCTTGCAGGTTTTCTCTCCTCAATTTTCTTATCAATTTTTCTAATCTATGTAATTCTTCCATGTTGTAATATGTCTCAGCATTGGAATTGGAATGTTCATCTAGTATGGCAACAAGTTATTAGTCCTGCAAATTTACTAATCTATGTAGTTCACGGGTTTTCTCTGCTATTTCCTTGTTCAGCATGGCGTACACAGCGCCATCAAACTAAAATGACAATAATATTGCCTTCACTAACGCATAACCATGCCATCTTATATATATATATTCTTGAAACCAGAATTATAATAAAAAATTAATTCAAAGGTTTTGAAACAAATTATCTGGTTTAAAGATGCAAGCCATCATCCGTTTTACGAGTTCAAACTATAAAATCAATGTCATATCATATTTCAAATAGTCCTGAGTTATCATTTGAAGCTTGCTCGACATGGTTTGGATAGAGAACTTGAGCACGAGTCACGTGTTCATCTCTAATTGCTCAAAATCTCTATACCAGCAAACAGACTTGTGATCTAATTTCACATGAACACATTTTAGAGATCTCCCAGGAAAAACAAATTATAGTCCTTTTCAAACAATAAAAATAGATATATTTAAATGAAAGAAATGGGAAAAAAATATATTTTTTTCGGAAAATCATGTGAAAAAAGAAGAAGAAGTTCATATGAGAAGCCTTTGAAGTTAGATTCTGATTTCAGCAGTACTACTTTCTTTATTAGTAAGTTGAAATTTGTTAGCAAGCCTAAAAACATAGTATTATTTTTTATTCATAATATTAGAAATGGAGGGTCATATTTGTCCATTTTTATAAAATTTTTTTTTTAAAAAAAAGAACAAGTTATAAAAATGAAACCACGCCCTTATTAGATGATTTGACTTGTCAATCCAGCATTAATCAGCAAGAAAAAGTAGAATTCTTGTTTACTCTTTAATCATCTCTTCCTCTTATCAATGTATATATCACTTCTTCTTATATCAACGGCTATAACTTGGTAAGCTACAACATAAAAAACTAATTACCTGCAGCTCAAGAGATGGTTGATCGAACATGTCGAGGTTCTTTGGATGTAGATTGCGCCTTTCCATCACTTTCCCAACGCTTCAAGAACAGAAGATAGACCAAGTTATTTCTTGAATTATTCATGACGAAGAATAGGAAAACACTTTCTAACGGTGCCATTAATTGGTAGAAGATTCAGTGTTCTCTAGTAATTGCTAGTTACTAGGATTTTTCCCATGATTATTTCAGAAAAAACCAACTCTTGTCTAATCATAAAGATGCGCTCTTTTCCATGAAGAATAGATCACTATTAAAAGAAAGGTAACTATCTCTTGCAAATAAATCCTCAATGATGCACAAACCAAGGCTGCTAAACCCTTTAGCTTGAATGTGATCATAATAGTTAGGGCACAGAGATCATACGTTTTTCATTTTTATTTGTTGAGTCAATCAGAAGTTTTCCGATTGACAAAGAGCAACAGGATGAAGAGTACAAGAGCCAAACAGCAGAAGGATCTGAATATGGTGTCCTAACAACAGCAAATATCAAATAGCAAAATAGCATGCAGATGAAGCCTAGAAATGGAGGCAGCCCAAGATACACAAAAACCAGAAAGAGCAGAAACCAAGAAGGAAGCAAGAATGCCATATAAATTCAGGACAAGGGAGGAGAATCCAAGGTCATGCCACGACAAACAAAAAGCAAAGCACCCTTACCAGATAACTGCCAAAAAAAGAAAAAGGAAACTGTGACTGATAAAAAACAGGCAGCAATCAAATTACCAAAACCAGCCACACCAACTCTGCAAGAAAACTGGTAACTCCACCAAAACACCGACCGACAACACAACAGGCAGAAAGCATGGCAGGACGACAAAACATGTAAAGAACATTTGCAAGACACCTCCTAGTTATAATCCATATGCAATCACGAACCTTCTAAAGGCAAAGCTGAACAACTAGCCCAGACAATCTTGAAGGATGACCGTGTGAAATTTTCAATAAACCCTAATACCAGATACAACAGCAACAACAACAACAAAAACAAGTCTTGTAGAAAAGAAGTTTACGGTAATAACAAACCCTAATTTCAGATACAAGGTCATATCTATTGCCTTGCTAACCAAAAGCTCAAATCTCCCATTTTCTTAATGTTAGCTAGTTTATGCCGACAAATGAGCAGTAGTTTTTACTAGTATTAGCGTCTCATATTCCTTCAAGAGATATCGAATTTGAAACTCTCCTTTATGACCAAAAAAACTAATCACAGCCTCTTTAATAAAATATATATATATATATATACACTCCGACGCCAATATAAAAGTAACACATGAAGACAAGGAGAGAGAAGGCTTTGTCCCAAGTTCCCAATAGTGCCTATGAAACACTTGTGAAATATGGGTTGATTTTGCTGAGATCTTGCACTATATAGAAGCCCTAAGCAATCGAATAAAAAGGATTTTTAAGTACAGAAGCAAGTGAAACCCAAAAATTATTGTATTGAATCCTAAAGCTAATTATGTAACAGTATGGACACAAAGTTATCAAGAAGATAATCCCAATTTGCTAAAATAGTTTCGCTGCAACAAAATTTGGCTCTTTCTTGCACTTCCAATAAAAGTTTCATTTAGAATTTTCTTATTTGATGGTTAGGCTTGTGTTCTTGTGCCAACTCTTGTGCCCACCAAGATGAAAATCCACTTCTCCTTCCTATAAAACAATCTTTTTTATCAGTTTTTTTTTTTTTTCATCATTAGACGAGTGCATTTTAAAATCTTTTTGGTTTTATCTAAGTATTCTCGTTTTATATTGGAGATACAATTAATCTTGTTCAGAACAAAAGATGATAAGATTTAATCACTTTCAATAAATATAACTTTGGAATTCGAACCTAGCACATTAGCACAAAATTCATCTAAAGAGCAGTTCATTTACTGCTGGACCAACAACTAGTTGGTTAGGATATTTTAGATCTTAATCCTCAAATAATGTGCTTTTAAGCTATATATATATATATATATATATATTTTTGCATGTACCTTGAAAGATGACATGAAAATAAAATATAAATAATAAAAAGACATTATTTTCTAACAATCATGTATTACTTTTAAGCAATTTTTTTATTTATTATTTTTTCAGGTTTGGATTCAATTTCCGTAAAAAAAACTTCAACAATTTTTTCACAATATAAAAGTATCTCTCTTGACTTGGTTTCTCAGTTTATAATAGAAATGTGAATTTTAATTTTAATTTTAATTTTTTTCTCTATATTTATAACTAAATTTTCCTTTTCTTATAATTTGTATAATATTTTAGTACATTGATAGTTTTAGGATTTGTAAAAATTCATAGAATAGGCTAATAATATCATATGGAACAACTCTCCAATTTCACTTTTCTTGTTGTATTAAGTTGACATGGAAAAAAATGTTAACAAACTTCATTGTATGTGATTTAACCAGAATTGTATGGAAATAAGCAAAGGATGGAGGGAACTCATCCACACAAACTTAAACGCCACTATGATAGAAAATGTAGCCTAGAATCCTAACAAATGATTCACTCAATTAATAATGGTAGAGACTCAATTTGTGTCTGAACTTTTAGTTAGAGCAATAAGAGAAGGAGATAGGTTTATTTGGGTTGAAATAATGATAGGTTTTCCATTTAAGTAGGTCGAAGTTGTGTGAGAATTCCTACATTGATGTTGGTTGAAACCATGATAGGTTTCTTGTTTATGTGGATGGAAGTCGTGGAAGGCTTTCCAAATTTATGTGGATTGAAACCATGATAAGTTTTCTGTTTATGTGGGTCAAAGTTGTAGGAGACTTCTTAAATTTATGTGGGTTGAAACAATGATAGGTTTTCCGATTATTTAGGTGGAAATCGTGCGAGAGTTCCTAAATTGATATGGGTTGAAGTCACGATAGGTTTTTTGTTCACATGGTTGGAAGCCGTGGAAGACTTTCCAAATTTATGTAGGTTGAAACCATGATAAGTTTTCTGTTTATATGGATCGAAGTTGTTGGAGACTTCAAAAATTTATATGAGTCAAAACCATGATAGATTTCCCATTTAGTGTGTCGAAGACATGAAAGACTTTTCAAATTTATGTGAGTTGAAACTCGTGATAGATTTTTCATTTATGTGGATTGAAGTCGTGGGAGACTTTTCAAATTTATATGGGTCGAAACCGTGATAGGTTTCCCATTTATATGGGTCGAATTCCTAGGACACTTTTCAAATTTATGTGGTTGAAATCATGATAGGTTTTCCTTTTATATGGATCAAAGTCATGAGAGACTTTTCAAATTTATGTGGGTTGAAACATAGTAGGTTTTTCCTTTATGTTGAGCTGTTTTATATTTGTTAAGATCCCAAAGCCAATTTGAACAATAATATTACCTTAAGATGGGGGCAGAAGATTAAATATGCATGAACCAAGCATCACATCCATGTTATTTTTCAGCTATATATGGCCAGGCATATTGTATTCAGGTTTGCGTTACACTTCCAATTACAATCCGAAAATGTTTTTTCTCCCTCAAGGGATAAATTCATTAAATATTCACAATCATGTAGTTTTAGTAGAAATAAATTGATATAATTACTTAAAATTTTGTATATACATGAGACATTATTATTATTGTTGTGGTTTATAGATATTATTATGGTGGCTGTTGCTTTTTTCAACTTTTATATATTAATTATTTTTGGTTTAATAAGTTAATGTGGGATATATATGTTCTCCAACATGTAAATCGTAATTAAACAATAAAGCTGTGCGTTGATTCATTCAATAATAATTCAGCAGCTAAGTCACAGTACTATATATCAAGCAATTAGTGTTTTGCAAACCCACCCCCATGATAAGATTTCAACTTTCTTCCCAACAACTCTGATGTAGAACAGTGTGTATATGTACCTTTAGCACAGGATATCTCTAACCTCCAAACCCAAAAAAAAACTAGTGCTGGTTCAATGAATCAATATATAAACTGAAAAATTAATTATGATGAGTACAAATCAAAGACACTGAAGAGACCTTTTTTTTTTTTTCACTGAAAAATTATGCCACAAATCACTTCAGACTACACCAATATTAAGAGCTCCAACATCATGATAGAATATTGAGCAATTTGTAGTCAATTATCTTTATCAAATAATTTATACTATTGGGGGTATTAAAATTTCAGAATTTGCCCTTAAATTTTCTGGGAAACGAAGGCCTTGCATAATTCAGTCCTCTATACCCAATATTTAATGAGCACATTCTTTTATTAAGTTGTGGTTTTTAGTGTATGAAGGATCACGAAAACAACTTAATGATATCAGTGGCTTTGATCTCTAATGGCAGAATAAGTACAAGTCTTGTTGGTTCAAAAGGAAACAGAAACAATTAAGACAATATTAAATCATAAACTAATCAAGTTAATTTCAGATCAGATAACTAGCATGCTTTAAGAGGAGACACAAGTGGATTCATCAATAGTCCTCAAAAAAGGATTTCAACTAGTATTAAGACAGAATCCTACCGAGAAAACTATGAAAGAGATAAACACTGCTATTGTTTGATAGTTACGGGTATTCTATCTAGTTATAGGAATTTTTATTTATTATTAAAGGGATTCCTATCTATTGTAACACTTAGAGTTCTATTTACACTATACTTGTATACCTATAAAAGGTACAAGTATCGAAAATATTCTTCCGCAACTAAACTCATGGTTTAACTTGGTATCGAGCCTCATAGGCTAACTACGAATTTCTCTCCCACACAACCACCGCTGAAACTACCCCAGCTGCTCATCAATCTGTCATTCCAATGAGTTGTTAGAGATTTTAGGAATATTAGATAATAAGTTAAGCGTACTATGAAGGAAATTTCAGCTTATAAAGTGGGCCTCTAGTAAAACTTTCAAATATTTGATTGAAGGAATTGGAGAGAAAACTAGGATAATTGGTTGGAATTATATATATTTAAATAATCAAAGACTAGCACTTAGCACTTTGCACGTGCGCGTGTGTGATTAAGAAATTTATTTTTATTTCTTAATGTAATTAAATTCATAATTATTTAATTAATTACGTTTTTAATTTTTGCTGCAGCTAATTAGTTATTAACGACTTTCAAACCTTATGATCGTTAGAATCTAACGATTATGTACGTTAGAGTCTAACGATTATGATCTGTTGGATTATGACCGTTAGAATCAACAGATCATGTTTGTTATGAAAGGGTATCGGTAGTCTATAAATAGGGTACTACCGCACAGGACGAAATTAATTACATTCTCTGCAATCCTCCTCTCCTCTCAAAAATTCTTTTCCTTCTAAGACTCTACAACTTTAAGAGATATTCTCTTGGAGAAATTTCAGGAGTGCTGCCTGCAGTTCCTTGTGTGCAAAATTGTATCCTAGAGGTGAATTGCTAAAATCCCTACGGTATTATAGTGGGGGCAATAATCACCTTAAGGACGATGTGGGGTATTTTCTACACGTAATTAAGCACTACATATTTCTGTTCTTCTTCAAGTTCATTTCGACTTTATCCAACATGAGTCGCCTAATCAACTCCTATCACTTCATTTCTCTGAAATTAACCCAAACAAACTACCTGCTGTGAGGAGTCCAACTCAAGCCACTTCTCCTTGGCCAGGACCTACTTGGATCCATTGATGGCTCCCTCCTTGCCCTCCCAACCATATTCCTGCTACTATCGATGGCCTTTCTCAGATTAATCCAGCTCATAGAGCGTGGATCCAGCAGGACCAGCTCGTCATGAGCAGGCTGATTTTCTCTCTCTCAACAGACGTGTTGCCTATGGTGATTGACACCACCTCTCAGGAGAAAACTATAGAAGAGATAAACACTGTTACTGTTTAATAGTTACAGGAATCCTATCTAGTTATAGGGATTCCTATCTATTATAATACTTAGAGTTCTATTTACATTATACT